TTGTTGTTTTCTTGGTTACTTGCACAATTTTTAGTATTTCATATTTATTTATCTATAGTGCTTTTGAACTTATTTCTTTGTATAGTTTTCATTTTGGTGGCTCTATATATTACAGTATACACATATGACTTATTACAGAGTGAAAGTGTAGTCGCTTAGTCATGTCTGACTCTGCAACCCCATGAACTGTAGCCCACCAGGCTCCTCTGTCCATGGAGTTCCCCAGATAAGAACACTGGAGTGGACTGCCGTTCTCTTCTCCAGAGGATCTTCCCAGCCCAGGGGATGAGCGCATGCCTCCCACACTGCAGACAAATCCTTCGCTGTCTGAGTCGCCAGGGAAGCCCATTACTACAGAGGACTGGTGTCGGTGTTTCACTACTTAATGTGAAATTTGAAAACCTTTTTTCCATTTAGGTTAATTTACTTTCCTTAATTTTATGTACTGTAGTCCTGAGCATCAGATAATGCCATAATTTTTATTTCAATCTTTAAATATGATTTATAAAACTCATAAGAAAAAGGATGGTCTGTTTTGTGTATATTTCTGATTATTCTGTTGTTCTTTCTCCCTTTCTGATGTTCCAGGATTCCTTCTTTTTCAATTTCTTTCCTTTTTGAAGATTATCGTTTAGCCAATTTTTAAGGATATATCTGGAGGTGACAAATTATTTGTTTTCTTTTATCTGAGAATGTCTTTCTTTCACCTTGATTTTTTTTTTTTTTTGGCTATGCGGATCTTGGTTGCTGTGCTCAGGCTTTCTCTAGTTCGGTGAGTGGAGCCTATTCTTTGTTGCGGAGAACAGGCTTCTCACTGTGGAGGCTTCTCTTGTTTCTGAGCATGGGCTCTAGGGCCCACAGGCTTAATACTTGTAGCACATGGCCTGAGCTGTTCCCCAGCATGTGGAATCTTCCTGAACCAGGGATCGAACCCATGTCCCTTGCATTGGCAATCTGACTCTTAACCACTAGACCACTATGGAAGTCCTCCCCTTAATTTTTGAAGGATATTTTCACCAGATGCAGAATTTGTGGCTGACAGTGCTATTTTTTTCAGTACCTGAAAAATGTACCAGTACTGTCAGGCATCCATAGTTTCAAATGAGAAATCCATTGCCATTCAAATTGATATTCCCTTATAGGTGTCATTTCTTTCTGGCTATTTCAATATGTTTTCTTTTTATTTTTTAGAAATTTAATTATTTTTAGTTTTAAGAAGTTTAATTATGATATGTTGTGGTATGTATTTCTTTGGGTTTACCCTGTTTGTGGATATTGTACTATCTTGAACCTATAGGTTTATGTATCATTCGTCAAAATGAGAATTTTCAGCCATTATTTCTTCAAATACTCTTTTGGCTTTCCTTTTTTCTCTTTCTGAGAACCTGATGATATGAGGGTTGCATCTTTTCTTATTATTCCACAGGTCTCTGTTCATTTTTTTCAGTCTGTTTGTTGTTTTTTTTTCTAGTATTTCAGTTAAGTTCAGTCATTCAGTTGTGTCCAAATTTTTGCAACCCCATGAACTGCAGTATGCTACCCTTCACTGTCCAACTTCTGGAGCTTGCTCACTCTCAGATCCACCAAATCAGTAATACCATCCAACCATCTCATCCTCTGTCTTCTCCTTCTCCTCCTGCCTTCAATCTTTCCCAGAATTAGGGTCTTTTCTAGTGAGTCAGTTCCTCTCATCAGGTTGCCAAAGTATTGTAGCTTCAGCTTCAGCATCAGTCCTTCCAATGAATATTCAGTACTGATTTCCTTTAAAATGGACTGGTTGGATCTCCTTGCAGTCCAAGGGACTCTCAAGAGTCTTCTCCAACATCACAATCCAAAAGCATCAATTCTTCGGTGCTCAACTTTCTTTATTCCAACTCTCACATCTATACATGAATATTGGAAAAGCCATAACTTTGACTAGATGGACCTTTGTCAGCAAAGTAACATCTCTGCTTTTTAATATGCTGTCTAGGTTAGTCATAGCTTTTCTTCCAAGGAGCAAACGTCTTTTACTTTCATGGCTGTAGTTACCATCTTCAGTGATTTTGGAGCCCAAGAAAAGAAAGTATGTCACTGTTTACATCGTTTTCCCATCTATTTCCCATCGTTGTTTTCCCATGAAGTGATGGAGCCAGATGCCTTGATCTTAATTTCTTGAATGTTGAGTTTTCAACATTCAATGTTTTCACTCTCCTCTTTCACCTTCACCAAGAGGCTCTTTAGTTCCTCTTCTCTTTCTGCCGTAAGGGTGTTGTCATCTGCATTTCTGAGGTTATTGATATTTCTCCTTGCAATCTTGATTCCAGCTTGTGCTTCATCCAGCCTGGCATTTCACACGATGTGCTCTGCATATAAGTTAAATGAGCAGGGTGACGATACACAGCCTTGATGTACTTCTTTCCCAATTTGGAACCAGTCTGTTGTGCCATGTCAGGTTTAACTGTTGCTTCTTGACCTACATACAGATTTCTCAGAAGGCAGGTTAGGTGGTCTGGTATCCCCATCTATTGAGGAATTTTCCACAGTTTGTTGTGATCTGCACAGTCAAAGGCTTTGGCATAGTCAATAAAGCAGAAATAGATGTTTTTCTGGAACTCTCTTGCTTTTTCGATGATCCAGTGGATGTTGGCAATTTGATCTCTGGTTCCTCGGCCTTTTCTAAAACAAGCTTGAACACTTGGAAGTTCACGGTTCATGTATTGTTGAAGCCTGGCTTGGAGAATTTTGAGCATTACTTTGGTTTCGTGTGACATGAGTGCAATTGTGTGGTAGTTTGAACATTCATTGGGATTGCCCTTCTTTGGGATTGTAATGAAAACTGACCTTTTTCAGTCCTGTGACCACTGCTGAGTTTTCCAAATTTGCTGGCATATTGAATGCAGCACTTTCATAGCATCATCTTTTAGGATTTGAAACAGCTCAGCTGGAATTCCATCACCTCAACTAGCTTTGTTCATGCTGATGCTTCCTAAGGCCCACTTGACTTCACACTCCAAGATGTCTGGCTCTAGGTGAGTGATCACACTGTCGTGGTTATCTGGGTCATTAAGGTCATTTTTGTATAGTTCTTCTGTGTATTCTTGCCACCTCTTCTTAATGTCTTCTGCTTCTGTTAGGTCCATACCATTTCTGTCCTTTATTGTGCCCATCTTTGCATGAAATGTTCCCTTGATATCTCTAATTTTCTTGAAGAGAACCCTAGTTTTTCCCATTTTGTTATTTAGGTGGGTAAATGATACTCAACAGATCTGTTGATCTGTCTCAAGTTGCTGATTTTATCCTCCATCATCTCTACTCTAGCCCATCCAGCAAGTTTTAAGTTTCTGTTACTGTATTTTCAGTTCTATACTTTTCATTTGATTTTTTTTATTACTTAATTTCTTTGCTGGTGTTTTACCTTTCTTCATTTATAATTGATTGTTGAAGCATTTTATGATGGCTTCTTTAAAGCCCTTGCCAGAATATGTTACCATCAGATTTATCTCTGTGTTGGTGTCATTTGATTGTCTTTTCTCAGTTAAGTTGTTATATTTCTGATTCTTCATATGATGGGTGGTTTTTAAAATTATATACTAGAGTCTTTCCGGGTGGCTCAGTGGTAAAGAACCTGCCTGCCAATGAAGGGGACATGGGTTTGATCTCTGGTGAGATCTGGGAGGATCCCACATGCTCCAGAGCAACTAAGCCTGTGTGCCGCAATTATTGAGCCTGTGGTCTAGAGCCTGGGAACTGCGGCTACCAAAGCCCGTGCACCCTCGAGTCCACGCTCTGCAACAAGAGAAGCCATCGCAATGAGAAGACTGAGCACCACAACTAGAGAAAAGCCCACACAGCAACGAAAGCCCAACAGTCAAAAACAAGCAATAAGTATTGATAAATATAATTTAAATTTCTGTACTAGACATTTAGTCTATTTTATTAGTAGACTGATTCTTTTATTAAATTTTTTATTTTATATTGGAGTATAGTTGATTTACAATGTTATGTTAGTTTCAAGTGGACAGCAAAGTGGTTTAGTTATACATATTCATGTATTTATTCTTTTTCAGATTCTTTTCCCATACAGGTTATTACAGAGTATAGTTCCCTGCGCTGTATAGTAGGTCCTTGTGACTATCCATTTTACATATAGTAGTGTGTTTATGTTAATCCCAACCTCCTAATTTATCCCCCTTCCCTCCTTTTCCCTTTGGTAACCGTAAGTTCATTTTCTAAGTCTGTGAGTCTCTTTTGGTGTTGTAAATAAGTTCATTTGGATCATTTTTTTAGATTCCACATATGATATCATGTGATATTTGTCTTTCTATGTCTGACTTATTTGATTTAGTATGATAATCTCTAGGTCTATCCCTATTGCTTACAAATGGCATTATTTTATTCTTTTTTGAAAATAATTTGATTTCTTTATTTTTGGTTGTGCTGGGTCTTCATTGCTTCACAGGCTTTTCTCTAGTTGCTGCAAGTGGGGGCTACTCTCTGGTTGCAGAGCACAGGCTCTTGGGCTCTGACTCCTGGGCTCTGGAGCATAGGCTCAATAGTTGTGGCGCACAGGCTTAGTTGCTTCAGGAGATATGGGATCTTCCAGGATCAGGGATTGAATCTGCATCTCTTGCATTGGCAGGTGGATTCTTTACCACTGAGCCACAAGGAAAGTCCTATTTCACTTTTAATGGCTGAGTAATATTCCATCAGATATATGTACCACATCTTCTTTATTCATTCATCAGTCCATGGATACTTACATCGCTTCCATGTCTTGGCTACTGTAAATAGTGCTGCAATGAATATTGGGATGCATGTATCTTTTCTAATTACAGTTTTGTATGGATATATGCCTAGAAGTGGGATTGCTGGATCATATGGTATTTGTATTTTTAGTTTTTTTTCAGGAACCTCCATACTGTTCTGCATAATGGCTGTACCAATTTACATTCCCACCAACAGTATAGGATGGTTCCCTTTCCTTCACACCTCTCTAGCATTTGTTATTTGTATACTTTTTAATTATGGCCCTTCTGATCAGTGTGAAGTGGTACCTCAAAGTAGTTTTGATTATTATTTTCTCTAATAATTAGCTCAAATGGTAAAGAATCTGCCTGCAATGCAGCAGACCTGGGTTCGATCCCTGGGTCAGGAAGATCCCCTGGAGAAGGAAATGGCAACCTACTCCAATATTTTTGCTGGAAAATCCCATGGACAAAGGAACCTGGAGGGCTACAGTCCTTAGGGCCACAGAAGAGTTGGACATGACTTAGCAACCAAACAACAATAATTAGTGATGTTGAGTATCTTTTCATGTGCTTTTTGGCCATCTGTATGAGGAAGATGCTGATTCTTATTTAAATTTTCTATTTTAGCAGATGATCACCTTTTAGGTTTAGTGTAAGGTGCAAGTTTACTTTTGTGGGCTGTGGTTCCAATGACAGTTTAATTTTCAAGCACTTTGTGGTATTATCTTCATTTTCTTAGTTTAAATCATGCTGTCAGGCACCCATCGGTCCCTGCTCTTGCTACCTGGAAGAGTGAGGAGTTTCTCTAGGCTTGTCAGCCTGTTGTCTCTGAGTGGAGGAAGGGAGTCTAAGGCCCACAGGGACAAAAAAGCCTTCCTATCTGTGTGGCAGGTTCTGTCCTGCTTGTGGGGCGCAGAGAGTGCCTCCCCAGTTAAGTGCTTGTTTTGGTAGAATTCCCTTGGTCAGTGCTTTGTCCCCTGTCCTGCTATTTCTTGATAGGGAGACAGATCTCAGGCCTACAGAGAAGTGCATACTTCTTCTGGCCATTTATTGATAGTGGACTCCCAATCTGCCTCCCTGGCAGGTGGTACTGAGCTTTTCATAGGAAGGCACTAGGATGAACCCTCTTGTCTAATGGTGTGAATCCCTGTGACATGCATGGAAGACTCATATGGTTCTTGGTGATGTTACACCAGTAGAAACACTGCCAGACTGGACTGAAGAGTATAGAGAGAATACAAAATTAAATGAATACAAAACAAAAGAGGCTGTTGGACCCCTAAAATACCACAGGCAAGAAATGGGAGCCCATAAAACTACTCATGTGTTAACCTTTAAGAAAAAGGAAGGATGACTCTGAGGGCAGAACCACTAGCTCAAAGGACTGAACTTTGCATCACAGAAGATTAGTCCCAGACCATGAAACAAAAAGTCTACATGGTGGGGTGCACAAAGAGGTCTTTTCTGTCACCCTCATTGTGTCCCTGTGCCCTCCCTGTCTCAGGACCCCTGCAACCATCCCCTCAGAGGGCTGAAAGCAGCCACCTCCCAGGCTTTCTACCCGCCAACCCCAGTACCTCTGTGTTCACAGACCTCTTGCTCCCCTTCTGTCTCCTAAGCCCACCTTTGCTGGCACCCCGCCTCCAGCTGGGCTCCTCAGGTGTATCTGCTCCATCAGTGCTTCCTGCTGAGTGGGGGTGGGGAGGCCACTGTGTCTTAGGAGAGAGGAGACCCTGTCCTCTGTGACCTTGCCTGAGGCCTTCTAACACCGCATGTACTAATTTTTCTTTTCCAGGGCAGATTGATTGGATTAACAGTGGCTACTGTCTATGGATCGTATTAAGCAAGGTGCCCCATGGTCTTCATGTTCTATTCTAGATGGGTTATCCATTTTCCCAATCTCCTATTAAGAATCCTTTGTTGTTTGAATTCATGCTTGCTTTTTATAGATCCATAAAAGACCAGGGTGAAAACTGCCCATTACTGTCTCAAATAAGGTAAAAAAAGAGGTTACAATTGGGTGTTGCCTTAGTAACACAATAAAGGAACACAAATACTTGTTTCCAATAGTATGGTATTTAGCTGTTCCTATAGGGGCTTGACTATAAGTTGAGAGCAAACACTGTGTTTTAACTACTCATTTCTGTGTGACAACCACTCCATGTATAGTTTCTTATGAGTGAAGTAGAAAATCTTTTATACTGTTTACACTGTAAAGATGAACCTCCCACTCGCCTGTCTCTAGCTGTTCATGGTAACGGAGTGTGTGTGTCCCTTAGAGACACACTTCTCTTAGAGAAAGCTTACTTCTTCTGCCTTGACCTTGGAAAGTGTCTAGTTCCAGGGTGAATATGTGTATGTTGGAGAGGAGAAGGAAGGATATACTTTTAAAATTACTTAAGATAATTTCTCTCTTCGTCCCCACCAAGTCTCTACCTATATCAGTGAATTTGTTGTTTTTGTTAGTCTCTCAGTTGTGTCTGACTCTTTGCAACCCCGTGGACTGAAGCCCACCAGGCTCCTCTGTCCATGGAATTCTCTAGGCAAGAACACTGGAGTGGGTATAGCCATTCCCTTCTCCAAGGGATCTTCCTGACCCAGGGATCAAGCCTGGGTCTCCTGCATTGCAGACAAATTCTTTACTGTCTGAGTCACCAGGAAGACAGGACTAATTTGAAATTCATGGGCCCTCAGAAGGGGTTTAGGGTGTGGTTCTATTTCATCTTACTTTTGGAGAGATGTGGGCCTGGCAGGTAGTTGATGAGTAGATTCTTAGCTAGAATAAAGAAAAAACTCTCCTTGTAATGTGTATTTTATTTGTCTCTCTTGTGAGCTAACATTTGGTGGAAGGTGGCCTGATCAGACTGTTCAGAAGCAGTGATAGCTCACAGGGAAACACAGGTGGTCTTGGCCGGAATAAAGTGAGAGGACGAAACTGCTAGATCACCCAGCAAGAGACCCAGTGAGACCCAGTGAGAGCTGGAAGCCTGGCCTGTCACAACTAGAGGGCAATTTCTTTCAATCTTGTGCATCCCAACACCTAAGTACCCCCTCCCATAAACACATAAATCCATTTTCTCATCAAGGTCATAACTCTCCTTGGAATAGGGCTTCTCTGTGAAGAAGGCATCAGAGATGCTGGCTCAGGACCTGTGGTGCTGACTGCTCACTCTGCATCTGGGATGGAGAAATGTTTGGGAATCATGATCATTTACAGTTCAAGGGGCTGGGGTTGCTTTTATGTTAAATAAAGCCTGTGTCTGTATCTTGGATCCTTCTGTCTCTTTTCTCCTCCCCGTCCCCCCACCCCCTCCGTAATTAAAGTATTACAGTGAGGAGAAACCTTTAAATGCTGACCTTGGAAAAGGAAATGAATTTCCTCTCATTTCTTGGAAAAGGAAAGAGAACTAGGCCTGGCAGAAGCGCAGATTGTTCCAAACAAGCCCTGAGGCCTCTGCTGTCTCTCATCCGCAATCTATCAGTGTGAAATAAGAGTCCCTGCTTACCTCTTTGAACTCGGGAAGTGGCTTTGGCTGAGCAGGGAGGATGTTCTTGGGCAGAGGAGAGAAGGTGGCAAAGTTGTTCCCTCAGCAGTGAGTGCTGGCTTGACCACAATAAAAGGCACAGTCAAGGTGTGTGGATCACAGGCCGGGGCCCTGGGCGCTGGGCAGGGGCTTTTAGAGATGCCCTGGGCAGAGTAGAAAAGAGCCTGGGCTGGGGGCTCTGAGTCCTTCCCCTCACTTCCCCACCACTTCTGCAGGAACTGAGAAGATGGTCCCTCGGGAGCATCGGCTCCACAGGGAGGCTCCACCCTATCTTCTCTGGTGACATCCTTCACAGGGACGCAGGGCAAGACCCCAGCTGGCTCCCTGTTGTTGGCTGAGTGGTCTGGGTCACTGATCTGTGCTCTCAGAAGTAAAGACACAAGCATTGCAGCTTGCACAGGAGGTGTTCGTGCTGCTCTGAAAGAAGAAGGGCCCCACTAGCCATTGGAAGAGCAAGCAGAAGAATACTAGAGCCCAGTAGCTGTGTGCCCACAAGGATCCAGTTTTAAAAACCAGACAGAGGTGATGGCAGTTGGGTTATGAAGACTGTTGTAATGATGGAATGAGAAAGTCACAAGTGGAATAAAAAGGCACAACTAGAGGAAAGACGTATGCACACCTTGCATGTGTGTTTGGTAAGAAGAAAGGAGATGAAGTAGGAAAAAGGAAGATTGACAGGTTAAATTCTTGCTTCTCTTTTATTGACCTCTGTGAGTTAGCTTGGTTATACATATGTATATGCATGCATGTGTGTACATACATGTGTGTGTTTTAGGTCAGGCAGTGAGGGGTTAAAGAAGTGAGGCCAGACAGACTGGAGTTCCATTTGTCAGCTAGGTGACCTCTGGGCCTTTGCACATGATTTTTTTTTTCTGCCTGGGAGACTCGCTCACTGCTTCTGGCCGGGCTAACTCCTATTGGTAATTCACTTCTCGGTTTGCAGTTTGGAAGCCTTCTTCTCCCATGCCTACTCCTACCTCTGGGTTAGGAAAGATACTCAGCTGCCTGCATCCTGGCCTCTCCCCACATGTCACACTGCTCATGCTGTCCTGTGAGTGCCCTCTCACACACATACCTTTTGATGAAGCAAAATGTGCATATACATAGAGAAGAAACTCAGGCAATGCAATTGCACTATTTAAATAATAATAATTCGGTGAACATCTGTGTACTTGCACCCAATTTAAGAATAGGATATTTCTAATTGCTTAGAATATACCCTTCCCCTTCCTTTCTCACTCCCCTGACAGAAACAACCACTCTTCTGATTTTGGTGATAAACATCCTTGCTCTTCTTTATTAGTATATATAATGAACTTTATATTATTGCAATTGTATTGCATGTGTTCTGTGATTCTCACTCTCTATGAAGTTTTTGGAATTTATCCATGGTAATGTATGTCACTATCTATAATTCATTCATTTTCACTGTTATGAAATTTTATTCCATCATATGTATATACTACAAATTATTTATTTTTTCTGTGCTAATATTCATATGGGTTGTTTTCACTTTGTTTCCTGTTGCTCATAGTGCTCCCAGGAACTGTGTGGGATGCATGGGAAAAAATTTCTTTAGTGTATGTGTGTGGGTTTTGCATGAAATATATATTTATATTGTATATATATTTATAGGACAGAAAACACTGGGTTGCAGGGTTTGCACATTTCACCTCTTCTAGGAAATGCTAACCTGTTCCACCAGCAGTGAGTCAGAATTCCCACTGATCAAGTTCCTGCTATTCAACATTACCCACATGGTATTGCCAAACTTTTAAACATTCATTGATATGAAGGTAATATAGTATCCAATTGTGGTTTTGATTTGCATTTCTTTTATCAGTAACATAGTGAAACATCTTTTAATATTTTATTATTCATTCAGGTTTTCTCTTTTATGACTTCATAAAAATCTTCTCAAGTCTCTTGCACGTTTTCCCGTTGAATTTTCTTTTCTTATTGATTTTTGTAATGGAGCTGCTCAGACCAGGCTCATGAGACCCAACTATGCCTATCTCTTCCCTCTACACTCAGAGACCTCATGTTCTCATGTTGGTGGCTTGAAATCAACCAAGTGGGCCAATTAGCTAAAACTAATAAGTAATAACCTCAGATATACAGATGACACCACCGTTATGGCAGAAGGCAAAGAAGAACTAAAGAGCCTCTTGATGAAGGTAAAAGAGGAGAAAGAAAAAGCTGGCTTAAAACTTAACATTCAAAAAATGAAGATTATGGCATCTGGTCCCATCACTGCATGGCAAATGGATGGGGAAACAATGGGAACAGTGACAGACTTTATTTTCCTGGACTCCAAAATCACTGCAGATGGTGACTGCAGCCATGAAATTAAAAGTAGCTTGCTTCTTGGAAGAAAAGTTATGACCAACCTAGACAGCATATTAAAAAGCAGAGACATTACTTTGCCAACAAAGGTACATCTAGTCAAAGCTATGGTTTTTTTCCAGTAGTCATGTATGGATGTGAGAGTTGGACCATAAAGAAAGCTGAGCACCAAAGAATTGATGCTTTTGAATTGTGGTGGTGGAAAAGACTCTTGAGAGTCCCCTGGACTTCAAGGAGATCCAACCAGTCCATCCTAAAGGAAGTCAGTCCTGAATATTCGTTGGAAGGACTGATGCTGAGGCTCCAATACTTTGGCCACCTGATGTGAAGAACTGACTCATTGGAAAAGACCCTGATGCTGGAAAAGATTGAAGGCAGGAGGAGAAGAGGACAACAGAGGATGAGATGGTTGGATGGCATCACGGATTCGATAGACATGAGTTTGAGCAAGCTCTGGGAGCTGGTCATGGACAGGGAAGGCTGGTGTGCTGCAGTCCATGGGGTCTCAGTCTACTCAGAGTCAGACACAACTGAGCAACTGAACTGAGGTAATCTGTATAAATAATCCATTTATCAATTAACTTGTCAGATGGTTTGAGCATCCCTTGATTTTTTTTTTTTTTTTTTTTTTTTTGGCCTGAATCAATTATTACAATGGTGCTACAAAATGGTGGTTTCTAACTCTGGATCATTCCTTGTAAAGAACATTCATCCATTCATTCATTTTCTAGCTTTTGGTAATAGTAAGATTCTGTGTATTCTGTTTTTATTTGCTGTCTTATAATCTATTAGTGTTGTTTTTCATTGTCACTCTCAGATTATCTTGGGTTTTGCCAGTGGGAGCCTGTTCACTCTGAATACTGTGTCCTTCGTCATGTCTAATGAGTTTTCAAGCATCTTCTTGCTTTCTGGTACAAGAAAATGTACCACAATGTACTTTTCCTGCTTCAGTCTTGGATTTAGCCATTTTGGCCAGAATTTGTTTGGTTGGTTATTTTGAAGAAGGGATAAGGGTAGAAGGGAGAGCTTTGACTATCAATTTAATTTTGTTAATTTTTCCTGGTTTAGCTATCCACATTATTCTTTTTTTAAAATTTTTTTTATTTTTATTTTTTTATTAGTTGGAGGCTAATTACTTTACAATATTGTAGTGGTTTTTGTCATACATTGACATGAATCAGCCATGGATATACATGTATTCCCCATCCCGATCCCCCCTCCCACCTCCCTCTCCACCCGATCCCTCTGGGTCTTCTTTCTGTATTTTGTAGGATATTATTCATTTCATTTAGAATTTTAAATTTTTTCACATGTAACAAAATAGTCATCTATTATTTTAAAAAATATCCCGTGTGTTAGTAGTTATTACCCTTTTTGTTCTGTATTTTCTGTCATACTTATTTTTGTATTAAAACTTGTCTTTTTTTCCTTGAGGAGTATTGTGAGATATGTGTCTTTTTTAAAATTTTTTATTGAAGGATAATTGCTTTACAGATTTTTGTTGTTTTCTGTCAAACCTCAACATGAATCAGCCATAGGTATACACACACCCCCTCCTGTTTGAGCCTCCCTCCCATCTCCCTCCCCACCCCACCCCTCTAGATTGATACAGAGCCCTTGTTTGAGTTTCCTGAACCATACAGCTAATTCCCGTGGGCTATCTATTTTACATATGGTAATACATATTTCCATTTTTAGTTTTTACGATGACTTGTTTTGCTTTTGTTAAATCTTCATGGTTTTATTTACTTGATCTCTGTCCTGATCGTTATCATTACCGTCTGTCTTGTTTCTTTCTTTGGCTTTGCTGTTTTTCCCGTTTTTTAAATTGAATGCTTAGCTTGTTTGTTCTTAATTTTACTTTTTCAAAAATGCATTTAATGCTATAATTTTCCCTCTGAAAATGAATTTTTTTAACAAGTTGTTTTTATTTTTTAGTGTTAAGTATCCCTCAGTTTCTTTTTTCTTTTTTTTACCCAAGGATTATATTTATTTCCAAGAATTGTGAGATTAAAAAAAAAAAAAAACCTCTCTTATCCTGGTTTTAATTGTCTTGTATTATACTTAGGAATCACATTCTGTGTGAAATTCATCCTTTAAAATTTATTTGTTTCCTAGTGCATGGTCAAGTTTTGTGCATGTTCCATTTGTGCTCTAATTCAATATGTTCCAACTATCTGCTGGGCTTGGAGTTCTCTCTATATATATGTTTATTATAGTGTTCACATCTTGATATGTGTGATTCTTTTGTCTGCTTGATCTATCAGTTTCTGAAATGGCAAATTAAAATATTGGTCCATCTCTGTACAGTTGCAATTTTGTTCACTGTGGCTTTATATATTTTGTTACTATCATGGTAGTGGCATGTATTTTCGTGAGTGTGATATGTATATTTTATTTTTCCTTTAAGTAGTTCACAGTCCTTAATTTTGCTTAACATTTTATCCTAAATTCTATTTTGTGAGATACCACATTTCATTGTTTCTAAGTCAAGCATCTTTCCTCATTTTAACCTCTCTAAATTGAGTTGCTTCTTACACTTGCTGTCACAGAAACAGCAGATGTGACCCAGTTGTCATTGCTTGTATTTATGTGCACATGATGATAGCTGTTCTTCTTGTCAAAACTTCAGTTGAATTATGTACAACTTTGGCACTGTAATGTGTTGAGTTTAATTGCTGTGTTATAATTTGCTAGTGAAATAATGAAAAGTTATAATAGATGCAGGAAGACATGGAAATAGGTAATACATCCAAATTTAAAAGACTGTTATTGGAAAAATGACTGAAATTCTAAATTATTATGCAAAGCAATAATCAAATGCTTTGTGGAACCCAAAAATTGAAGATACAAGTAGATGAGGTGTGTTTCTTTTGTTACTAAGACTCATGCAGAAGGGCTGCCTATTATCACCAAGTGCTCCAGTCAGAGGGAAGATAATTTTTTAGATTTCTTGGAATGGATGAAGAAAATTAAAAACAAGTGGCAGGCATGGCCTACTGATAATGTCATGTAGGACTTTAGTCAAGATGTCATATAT